GTGTATACATGAGGTCACGCCACCTTATTCACCTCAGTCAAATGGTGTGGCTGAGTGGAAGAATCGTACCCTGAAGGATATGATAAATGTAATGTTGTTAAGTTCTCGATTACCTCAGAACATGTGGGGAGAAGCCATCTTGTTGACAAATTACCTTTTAAATAAGGTGCCCCGAAAGAAAAAGGAAAAGAACCCTTATGAATTATGGAAAGGAAGGAAGCCTTCCTACAAATACTTGCAAGTGTGAGGGTGTCTTGCAAAAGTGGTTGTATCTCCACCGGAAAAAGTGAAGATATGTCCAAAAACTATTGATTGCATCTTCATTGGTTATGCATGAAATAGTAGTGCGTATCAATTTCTTGTGTATGAGTCAAATATCCCGGACATACATAAGAACGTGATAATAAAATCGAGAAATGCATCGTTCTTTAAAGATGTATTTTTGTGCAAGTCCAGAGAGGGACCTAGTTCGTCTAAACGAACACATGAGATTGTGAATGATGATAGTTTGGACCAAGAACAAGATATTGAGGTTGAACCTAGACACAGTAAGAGAGCAAGGACAGAAAAATCCTTTGGTCCATATTTTATGTCATATTTACTGGAAGGTGAACTTTAAAGCTTCAAAGAAGCAGTGAACTCTTCTGAAGGTCCTTTTTGGAAAGAGGCAATTAAGAGTGAAATTCATTCCATTACGCAAAATCATACATGAGAATTAGTGGATTTACCTTTGGGATGTAAACCATTAGGTTACAAATGGATTTTCAAGAGCAAAATGAAGGCATATGGATTAATTGATAAGTATAAGGCTAGACTTGTAATTAAAGGTTACAGATAACGTGAAGACCTAGACTACTTTGATACGTATTCTCATGTGACGAGAATAAATTCCATTAGGATGATAATAGCGATTGCCGCTTTGTGAAATCTTGAGATACATCATATGGATGTGAAAACAACCTTTCTAAATGGAGATCTAGATAAAGAGATCTACATGGAGCAACCTAAGGGTTTTTCTACTCCAGGACAAGAAAAGAAAGTATGTAAGTTGGTGAAGTCATTGTATGGCTTGAAGCAAGCACTGAAATAATGGCATGAGAAATTTGATAGTGCCATGATGGCAAACAGATTTAAAATCAATGAGTGTGACAAATGTGTTTATGTCAAAGAGACTGGAAATGACTATGTCATTCTATGTCTTTATGTGGATGACATGCTCATTGTTGGTAGTAATGATAAGATAATCAAGTCTACCAAGGATATGTTGAATTCTAAGTTTGACATGAAAGATATGGAACCTACTGATGTGATTTTAAGGATGAAAATCACGAGAACAACAAATGGGCTCATTCTAAGTCAGTCGCACTATGTGGACAAGATACTTGAGAAATTCAACAAGGATGTTTCTGGTGTGGCTAGAACTCTGATAGATGCTAGTCTATACCTATCAAGGAATAGAGGAGAGAGTGTCTCTCAAGTGGAATATTTAAGGGTGATAGGAAGTCTGATGTACTTAATGCGTTGTACAAGATCAGGCATAGCATACACATTTAGTAAACTAAGTAGGTATACGAGTAAACCAAGAGCTGACAACTAAAAAGCAATTGTAAGAGTACTAAGGTACTTAAGGTATACTCATACCTATGGGCTGCACTATACTAGATATCCAGCTGTAAGGATATAGTGATGTGAACTGGATATTTGATATTAAGGATTCAAAGTCCAGTAGTGGATATGTGTTGACATTGGGAGGTGCAGTTGTGTCTTGAAAATCCTTAAAATAGACTGTGATAGCCAGATCTACTATGGAATCTGAGTTTATTGCTCTGCATAAAGAGAAGAGGCTGAATGGCTACGCTAATTCTTAGAGGAAATTCCAAAGTGGCCAAAGCCTATGCCAGCGATCAGTATACAATTTGATAGCCAATTTGCAATTGGAAGGGCACAGAGTAACATGTATAATGGTAAGTCTAGACACATACGTCGTAGGCATAATACCATTAGACAACTAATCTCAACTGGGGTTATCTCTGTTGACTACGTGAAGTCAAAGGATAACATTACGGATATGCTAACCAAAGGGTTAGATCGAGAATTAGTTGAGAAATCATCGAGGGGAATGGGACTAAAGCCCATGAAATAGAAATTCAATACGAAGGAAAACCCAACCTAGTTGATTGGAGATCCTAAGATCTAGGTTCAAAGGGACAACCTAATTGTACTGACTTAGTTGGATCACTGTGGGGGTTACCCCTTGTCCATTCCTATGATGAGACAGTGATGCCCGTGCGGTAAAGGTTATGCTATGCTTTTAATGATTCTTATGTATCGGGAATGCCAAGCGGAGAAATGCGGGTTACTTTTAAATAAGAAATCACCTATGTGAAAGAGAAGTGGGGTCGCTTCAAAGGAGAATTGTGTAGGGCTTAATTTTATAGAAACTCTTGCAGAACCAGAGAAATGTTCATTGCCAAAACGAACATAACAATAAGAATTGAATTGTATTAGAAAAGATCCTGTGTGAGGTGTATCATTGTTTACATAAACGACAGAACAATTCAAGTTCAATTGTTTAACATTGTATGAACTGTAATCCAACAAAGGTACAATCCATACGACATCCGAACATCACTCATACCATGCACTTTGACACTATTTTTTTTTTTTTTTTTTTTTTTAATCCCTTTGCAGAGAAATGTTCATGGCCAAAACGAACATAACAATAAGAATTGAATTGTATTAGAAAAGATCCTGTGTGAGGTGTATCATTGTTTACATAAACGACAGAACAATTCAAGTTCAATTGTTTAACATTGTATGAACTGTAATCCAACAAAGGTACAATCCATACGACATCCGAACATCACTCATACCATGCACTTTTGACCCTTTTTTTTTTTTTTTTTTTTTTTTGCTAATCACTTTGACACTGATTTTTGTGCCGGGAATCTGGACAAACAAACAGCTAATGGGGCAAAGAAGAAAAAGTCAAGAGAAACTAGTTGTGCAAAGCGAGCCAGTAAAATTGTAAAAAAAAAGCAGCTCATGATCAGCAATTAAGGTTTGGAATGAGAATTGTATATACGAGCAATGTTATTAGACACCGATAGTGTTCAGCACCCCACTAATAAAATGTGGGTCCTGTAGTGTGGGACTCATAGGTAGAGCCCACATTTTATTAGTGGTGACGCTTAACATCAATGATGTCCTTAAGTTTTTTTTTTTTTTTTTTTTTTTTTTTTTTTTTTTTTTTTTTTGAATTTGAGGAGTGTATTGTTTGCTGAGGTCAATACCAAGTCAGTGACTTGTTTTGATTGAGCATTCCAGCTTGCCTCTCAAGAATTTTATCACTGTTCTGGTCTTGAAGATGTATAAACTAGCATAATTTTGGATAATTGAAGTTGTGTATGCTAGCACAAAATAGCATATACTAGCATACATGGGAAAGTATAAAAGTGTAACGTGATATGTATTTTGCATAATAATGACTTTAAAATGGTGTAACATTAGTTTGTGATAAATAACTCCTTGTACATGCGAGTCATTGTTAAAATGTTATATATTTACAACATTTATTTCTGCAAGTTACAAGTAGTACAAGTCTTTCACGAAGGATTTGAGCCTTTGCATATAATCTAATTCCCATAACGTGAACAGTTGGCCAATAATCATTATGTCAAACGACTTTGGATAGGATGGGTTAAAAGTGCACGGCTGATGCTATATTGACGGTGTACCAAACGTAGTTGTACCAGTGTTTCATGTTATCATCAGCTACTAGCATTTACTTGTTGACTGATATTTTGGCCTCTTTAATTCCAGTCCTTGCGTGACTTTTGTTCAGAAAAATCTACATTGAAGCTTTGTGAACAAAAATATTCATGGATTAAAACTATGAGATTAAAATTATGAGATTAAAATTATTTTTAATTTACGTGTATTTTTTATGAGAGAAAATACTGTAGCGAATCATGAACCATGATTCGAATCAGAGAATGAATCTTTCAACCAAACATGCTAAAAAAGCTAAATAAACAAAAGTCACGTGGGAGTTGCGTGCCACCCTATCAAAGGCAAATTTAACATTTGAAGGTAAAAACACCCTCCAATACAATGTTAGTCAAATTTATTAGCATTTAATTATTATTTATTGTTATATTTACTTTTTCTCTTCACTGTAGCATTATCGTCACTTTTAAATTATTTTAATATTATTAAATTGTTTTTACAACTTTTAAGGCTTAAATAATTACAATTAAAACCATTTATAGCATTTGAAATAATAAAATAGAGACATTGTTCGGTATGTCAATATATTAGTAGGTTAAGTATTTTATTAGATCTACATAAAATCACATAAAAATTAAAAAGTATGCAGATTTAACGATTAAAAGAAATCTGAACTACAAGTACGCCAAGCCTATCATAAAATCTCCCAACAAAATAACATAGTACATCAAATATATTATTTTTACAATGATAAATATATTATTTATATTAGCATTCACATTTGTATTGTAGATGATCTTACCTTTACGCTTGCAAGCACAAGACCCGTCCATTACCTAGGAAATTGATTCATGGAATGGTCTTTTTAATGTACAACCTAATCTTACTAATGATTAAAATGCATTCATTAAAGTATTTATAGAAATTTAAACTTAATTAAATACTAAAAATGAAATTTCTCATCAGGTCCGTTGGTTTTATATACTCAAACTCAAATTATTAATTTTACTACATTATATTTTTCTTATAAAAAATTTTAATTTTAAATATTAGAAACAAGAATTATGATTTGAGTATACTTTACTTCATAAATTCGAATACCAAACCTTCTTGATATAATGTTTACTCTTATAAAAAAATTAAATTTTTAATTAAAATTTTCTATTGCAAGTATGACCAAAACAAATTATTATATAAATTCCAAATATCATTGTCTATTCATCATGACTTTTCACAAAACAGCCGATAAATCATATTTCACTTCAAAAAAAATAATAATAATAACAAAAATAAAATTGTCACTACTTTTTCCACCTTCTTTCCGGTATTCCTTCTTTCTCGAGTCTGCTTCCGCCAAAGATTTTACTCTCTACTTGCTGTCGTTTGTTTATCTCTTTATTTATCAGGACGTTTCAAAGGTAACTTTCCTTCTTTTTTTTTTTTTTTTTTTTTTTTCAATCTTCTCACTATATATAACCTGCTAATTCTTAGTGTTCGGATTTTGATTTTTTTTTTTGTGGGAATATTTTCTTGCTTTCTGATTAGGTTTCAGAGATCAAGTGAGCATGATATTTGATTTGGATGTTCATTTTATTGGTTTAATCTATCATTGTTCAAACCCTGATAATTATCATTTTGTCTGCTGAGGAAGCTGATACCAAATTGAGAGTCAATTTTATTTTTGTCTATCCTGAATTGGGTTTTCTCTTTCTTTTTTGTTTTGATGGGTAATTCCTGAGAAGGGTTTATGAATTAATCAGAAAAACCCTAAAATCCCAAATCTTAATGGAATGATATAAAGCAAACACGGTTATCCCTTACACACAAAACTCCAAATATAGATTATACAAGCAAGCAATTGGACGAGTCCGCCTATAAATTTAGATAGCAATAAGATATTATGAGAGTTCGAAATTTGCGTGTTCTTATTGTTTGTAGCTATTTGTTTAATAAAGTCACGAACCTTGGAAAGGAAAAATGTTTGTGATAAATTATCTAGATATATGTATATGTATATTGTTTGTGATATGAAATATCAGATGCAATAAAAATATAAAGTTTAAATCACCTTTACAACTGTGGAATGGGAGTCTTTGAATCAAATATTTATGTTTCCTCTGTTCTTGTACTTGATGAAACAACAAAGTTATTTAGTATATTTGTTCTTGGTGATGTATTTTTGAAATTCAATCTCTTTATTTAACTGTTAGATTTCTTTTGTTGGCCTGTGTCATTATATTATCCAGGTATTTCAGGACTGAAAAGACTTGAGTATTAATTATATACCCCTTATTATTATGGCTACGAAAAGAAGGAAACGTGACGACAGAATGGAGCAAGTTAAGGGACCTGAGATTGTGTTTGAGGATCGAATATCGGACTTGCCTGATGCTATCATCATTCACGTGTTATCTTTCCTTCCCACCTTATATGCCATTCGGACCAGCCTTCTTTCCAAGCGATGGAGAAGCATGTGGACTTTGGTTCCGGTGTTAGACTTCTGTGATTCAAGGGACATTCGTGATTCCAAAAGACATAATGAAAGAAACGACAGGCGGGAAAAGTTCTATAAATTCGTAGATGAGTGTTTGGAGCACCCTTATGCAGAAACAACCATTTCTAAATTGAAGCTTAACATGGAAGACTATGGAGACAGTAGTCGAATGAATGGTTGGTTGAGATTTCCTCTGAAGAAGAATATCCACGAGTTAAACCTCCGGGTTCGAGGTGCAGGATACTGCATACCTCAGTTCATACTTCATTTAAGAGCATTAACTGTTCTAAAGTTGAATGGTTTAGCGGTTAGATATCTTTTTCCTTCTAGCCTTCCTTCGCTGAAAGAGTTGTATCTCATGAAGATCCAAATGGCCAATCAAGCATTAGACTATCTATTGATGGGCTGTCCTTGTCTCGAGATACTTCATGTAAATTATAGCTATGGCTTGTTAAATCCTAAAGTTAAAAGTTTGAGCCTGAAATCCTTGGACTTTAGAACTGGTGGTGGTAAGGATCGTCATGCTCATACAATCGATGTTGAAGCTATTAATCTTCATTCTTTTCTATATAGTCAAGGCGGTCGCAAGAAGTGCAATATAAATTTGGTACAGTGTAGGGCGATTAGAAATCTCACGCTTATCGGAGCTTTTTTGACTGACCAGTGGTTAGAAGATTTGATTCCTCAACTTCCCCTCCTCGAGAGTTTGCGATTAACCAATTGCTACGGCTTGCAACACATGAAGATCTGGAATCAACATCTAAAAGACTTTGTTTTGTCTGTAGATCGTCGATTGGGCTCGCTTGAGGCTTCAATTGATACCCCAAATTTAGTCTCCTTCAGCTACTGTGGGTATAAAATGTTTAAAATTTCAATTAATGCGCCAAATCTACTCGATGCCTATATCAATTTTCCTGCCTACCCGAGAATGAATTACAATATTGAATGGTACACTAGTCTAATAAAATTCCTTTCAGTGTTCAACGGCTCCAAAAAAGTGTGTGTATTTTCTTTCCATGAAAAGGTATTTATCTACGTATTCCTATCACTTTTGTTCCTTTCACATTTTCTTTAGTATTTGATTGACTGGTCATTTTGTTCCAAGTATGATCCTTACTAATGACATTCTTTTTTTGTGCTTCTTTTTGATAATGTATGGAGGCTCTCATTATTCCAGATGAAGTGAAAAAGATATGTAGTTCTCCATTGCCCGATCTCAAGCATATGAAGGTACAGACCGCCACAGGCAGTCGATTGCATGGGAAGGTGATGCTCAGAAAATCCTTGCTTTGGATTGCACCTTCTAACTTGGAGACATTGCCAATAGGTTAATGGATCTTTAGTTTTATGTGAATATATATTTTGGTTTTGTAGATGCAAGTTAAGCCAAGCTTTGATTTTGGCATTTTGCCAACAAAAGCTAAGACCTTTCATAGGCCTTTGGCTACAGTGTTATGTTGTTGTACTAAATCTTTTCCCCCCTTTTTTAAGAGGATTAAACTTCTTTCTAGTCTCAATGAAAAGAGGGGTTCTACCGGTTGAAGTACGAACATTGTACACATATTTCAATTCATTTTCCGAACGTACTTGTCATTTGTGTCGTGGAAGTTGAGGTCTAAAGTAAACTAATCTATATAATAGAAAGCGTAAAGCTTTCCACTGTTCATGCGCACTTTCAACCAAAACGAAAGAGGCGCAATTTTGGAGGTTCCAGTATAAGCTCCGCCTTCTTTCTGCATCTTCAGCTGTTGCCTGTAAGTCTCCTTCTGTCTTTGCAAGGCTAAACTCCAGGACCGCAATTTTCTGCTCAATATATGTCTAGAGGTCAGAAATATGCTTAAACGCCAGATTTGCTTGCTGCTCCAGCTCCTAGACCCTCCGGGAATAGTAGTCAAGTTCTGCTGAGGCACGCAACTCCATCTCTTGTAGCTGGTTATCTAAGGTATCCATATGAGCCTCAAGCGTCCTTGCAAAATTCATCTCGTGAAAAGCGGCCCTTGAAGATGTTAGATGAAGAGGATCATTTGTGAGATCTATCAGTGAATTACTAGAAGGGAATGATCATTTTTAGATCCTTGAACAGAGGCTCGAGACATAGGTCTCGTTCACTTCGCGGATTCGAGTTGAGATGTGACATTTTCTTAAAGCTTTTCACTGTAGCAAAAAAAGTTAGATGTGACATTTTCTGAGAATTTTTTACTGTAAAAATTTAAAACTGAAAACTCTAATCGGTAAAATGAACGAGACTATAAAGATTGGTAGATATAAACGATAACTCAAGATAGGAAACATTATACTCTATTTTTTTCTATAAAAAAAAAAGCAGCATATGTTATTTATAGATGTTGGACCTATAGTGAATAGTTTGACACACTATAGCTCAAGGGACTTTAATGTTCAAGGAAAGTATATTAAATTCTCAGTTAGTTTCATTGTGATTTTTAACTAAAAATTTATACTGTTTTTGGATTGATTATAATGATATTGTACCAATAGTTTAAGTTGATGGTTTTTTTTAAGGAAATTAAGTTAATTGATGATATAATTGTTGACATATCCTCTTTATCTGGTTTTATGATTTTATTTACTACGTGTAACATTGCACTTTGAAATTTTAGTGTCTTTCTTAATTTTCAGAAGAAAAATCTAAAGTTTTTTGCCTAGTCCCAAAACCAATCAAAACTACACTTATTATATTAGACTTAAATTGATAATATAATAAAGGTACGTGGATTCGATCCAATTCAAATTAAAATGTGCCTTTTAGATGAGGCGAATACCTTTTTATTCATATTAATTTTGTAAGTGCTTCTCATGTATTATCGTGTTAATGCCACTTGAAGAGCTTATTATTTACTAAATAATGAGAATTCATTTATATAATTATTTAAGAATTTTTTTTGAACTTATTTTTAAAAAAGAAAATGTGTAAAGATAACTTTTGATATAATAGAAATTATATAGAAAACAATTAAGTAGACACATTTAAAGAAAATTGTTTAGTTATTGACAAAAAATAAAATAGGAACACATGTGAAAAGATTACTTTTATAGGAGTAAAGTGAGAAAAAAATATATAATATTTTTTTTAAAAAAACACAAATTTTAAATGTAAAAAAATAAAAAAAATAAAAAATATAGATAAAAAAGTAAAAAAAAATAAAAAAATAGGTAAGAAGAGAGACTGCCATATGATAGTCCAATAGAAAAGAGTTTTGACACTTTTATGTTTATTTAAAAATAAAAAAAAATAAAAAATAAAAAACAAAAAATAGAGACAAAAAAAAGTAAAAAAAAAAAAAAAGGTAAGAGGAAGGGCAGCCTATAGAAAAAAGCTTTGGCTTTTTGTTTTTGTTAGATTAGGTAGATTAGATGTTAGAAAATAAAAAGAATAAAAAACAAAAAATAGAGATAAAAAAAGTTAAAAAAAAAAAAAAAAAAAAAAAAAAAAAAAAAAAAAAAAAAAAAAAAAAAAAAAAAAAAAAACTAAGAGGATGGGTATGCACATAAAAAGGAGCATTGGTTCTTTCATGTTTGTTAGATTAGGTATATTGATATGCTTGATGGATTTTTTTGCATCTGCTTGTGTTTGATGCTTTTTCCATCAACAAATATAGGTGCGAGTACTATGGTCGGTATAATTGCATGCCCCGGCCGATATTGAACACTAGAACTGAGTGTATTCTCTCCAATTTAAGGTTTTTTCTCTTATAAGATTTTTTTAGGCGGACTTAGATTTTTAAATCTCATCTTCCATCTGAGTTAGACTGATAAAATTCCACGAGTCAATTTAGAAACACGTGCTATTATCAGACAATTACTAGTAGCGTTTACTGACTATGTCTAGCCAATCAATTGGAAAAAAAAAAAAGAAAGACTCGAAAGTGAGATTAAAAAACCCATGTATGCGCCATCGACCGAGATTGAAACCCAGTCAATTGAAAAACACAAATACACCAAGCTGAGCTGCTTTTTTTTTTTTTTTTTTTTTTTTTTGGGTTTTTTTTTTTTTTTTTTTTTTTTTGTGGGTTCATTTCTTTAGTATTTCTTTTCAGTTCAAATTGAAGAATTCATTTTTTTTTTATATAATCAGCCTCTAATCATGTATAAATATGACTTATAACACATAAATAATACATATTGCACAAGCTGAGACTGCTTACTAAGGAGTGAGATGAAGTCACTAACGTTTGTTTTATGGCTATTTTGCATACTAATCCTTGTTCTTTTCTTCAACCTCCCACAGGTTGGTTATGGCTTTGGCAGGTAAGAATGAACCTAGTACTTGAATTCGTCGTAGAGATTTAAAAGCGCTCTTGGTTTAAATAATTATGATGTTTGTGTGTGCGTACATCATAAAGTCGTTTGGTTCACGCATTCAAGTTCGTGATTTTGATTCTTTGGCGTGAACTGAATTTTGTAAAATAAAAAATACTATAACAGAATTAGAATCATGAGTTCAAGTATATGAACCAAACGGGGCTTTAGAAAGATACAAAATTATTAATTAGTCGGATTGCGATTGTAATTATGAATCTATAAAGTTGTTGGATTGGTTATAATGATGTACTGAATATTGTCTTTTAAATGAAATTAACTTGATAAAATTGTTGACATATTCTCTATCTAGTGTTATGGTTTGATTCAGCAGGTATAATATTGTATTTTGAACACCCTTGTGATGATATATTGCCTGATCATCTACTTAATAGACTAATGTTTCATGGTTCTCCATCAGATAGACTAATGTTTCATGGTTCTCCATCAATGAGCAGATTCAACTGTGAGCGAAATGATCCTGGCGACCGCCGAGGCTATCGCGGTATCCATTGCTATATCCCTCATCCATGCCATAGCGGTTCTGATTGCATGCCGAAATCATCACCGCCTTCACCAAATCCGGGTGTTAGAGGTCTTCCGTGAATGAAACAATGCAGCGCGGACGGAAGGGATGGCCCCTAGCTTCCTCCATGAAAAAATGAAGTCCCAACAAATGTTATAAAATAAAATGTCATGATATCTCATGAAATCTCTACTGCGGCTTTGCTTAGTTAGGAATTACTCTTATACTTGAAGGTAATTTAGAGAAAAAGATGTCAAAACAAGCTTTCGTCAACGTTAAATTTGACAACTTATCAGATCAGATTCATGATTTTTAATAAAAAAATAAATGTAATTAAAAAGTAAGAAATCTAACTTTTTAAAAGTAAAAAAAAAAAAATCAATGTGATTTTTTTGTTTTTTAAAAAAAAAAAAAAAAAAAAAAAAAAAAAAAAAAGAAGATCAGATATTGATTCATTGACTATCAAGTCATGCCAAGAAATGTCGAGAACCTGCCAAACATGAAAAATAAATGTTAGCGTCACTATTTTTGTCACTCTCTGCGTTCATAAAAATAAAGGGGGTCCTATAAGCTGAAAATACCAGCATTATACACATTTCCATATATCTTTCGAAAATGTAATTCGTGTCCTAGAATCGAATGTATAATTTCCTAGAGTAATCCCATAAAAAATAATAATAAATGTTACATTAACAAACCACAATATCCTTGTGAGCACAAGAACATGCCAGTTACAATAAATGCATTTCTATCCTCTTTTTGTCCAAATCCTAAGTACCCCATCAATAAAGTCGCGAAAGATTCAATAATAAATATACATGCCAGTTGCAATCTTCCAGTGTCATGTTGTGCTCATTTATTCTTTTTTGTTTCCAAAAGAATCTCTGGTTCTATTGTTGGTATCATAAGAACAACCACGGCCCACAATAGCCAGCTATGCTACATGATCTTCGTCTACAAGTGGTCGAATCGATTCCGCAGTCTTCGTCGGCTATACATCTATGGTCACTACGCGCATCAGGGACATGGCAAGCGCTCTCGACCCATTGCCCACCATGTTCTCCCGTGTTCAATGTGGTGGCCGGACATACTTGCAAAGACATTGAACTCGCTTGCCGTACTAGCCTTTCTTTCTACAAAATAAAACCTAAAATTTGTCAAAAAAATGTCTATACCTTTGGTGCCAGAATTCAGACATACATGAATTTGGAAAACGGTTCACGCCTGCAAGTGATAGAAATCAGCTCATGCAGGGAAAATATACAGGTTTTTTTCTTTTGTTAAAGCTTTATTCGGTGCCTAAAGAGTTCTTAGTAAAGCAGCACCTTGACAAAACTCCAGTTGGTTGGTATATAGGCCTCCGGAAGTCTATCATGCCAAGCACTTAACACAGGAAGAGGATGACCCTCGGTAGTGAAAATATAGTTCTGTTCGGCCAGAAACGAATCATCGAACAGAAGAAATAGATACTTGCACCTGCGAAAAGAAAAGAAGGCAAATATTATTCCCAATAAATGTGTGAGGATGAGAAAGTATTGTGCTGATTTTTTTTCCCTCCATATAGTATGGTTGAAAAACAAATGCCCACGTTTCAGCAAGGAAGAAGCTATGTTGATGATCTTCCAACTGCATGGTTGTTACATCTCTAACGCTAGCAAAACCTCCTTCCACTTTGGTGTGTGCATTAAGAGAATTCACTATTGTTTCTCCCACCTCTATGTACCATGGATCTGATAAAGCGCAACAATCATGTAAAATCAGAATAGTGAATATTTAGCAATGCAGCTATGTGATATGCTTGAGATATGTATTATCAGTGTAGATATATATATATATATATATATATTGGTACGAAATGGTAGAAATATAATTAATTAACATCTGTGTAGCTCCTGTCCGTCTAGCAAAGCAACTTGGTTGCCACATAGCTGTAATGATCAGCATATACACTAGATCCTGTAATGATATATCTCGATGCCTATATCTCATAACACCTAAACTAAATTATTAGCCAAGAATAATAGTAACTACTTTAAGAAAAAGGGACCTTTAGTTGCTTGATACAAGTAGAATGTTGACTCGGCAAGTTCAGGGCGCAGTGGATAATACTTTTCAGTAGGATGCAACATTTGATGGTCTAACAAGTACCTGTAAGCTTTTACAGGTCATATTAGAATTTCTTCTATTACTTTTAAGGGAAAAGTTACTTAAAAAGAAAGTAAGAAAAACCAAGCCAATAGCCGCTATGGTATATTAAATAGAGAAGCTCACAACAAAGAACAATTCCAAGGCAGGCTACCTCTCCGGTATTACTCCAAACTTCTCCCACACGTGGAAAAACTTGCGATGCGATGAATTTGCCGCTGCAATATCTCCAACAAGAACCTGATGAATGCAATTTATATTGTAAGATCGGAATGTCTTTTTGAGGTTTCAAATCATAATTTGCTACATGGCTATGTCTCCCGTTACTTGCCTGTAGGCCAGGCCAAAATGCTTGAAGGCTTGTAAGCTGCCAATAAGTTGCTTTTCCTGTCCTCATATCTGCTTCGTGGTACCTAATTTGTTGTCACAAGCTTTACATCAAAAAAACGCCTTTACAACCTTTCCTTATAAGATTGCAGAAGAAATGCAACTAATGTTGAGAAGAGATAGAAGCTAATGTAAGTACCATGGCCCATGTCTAAAATATTTCTGCACAGCAACATACGCCAAATGAAACATTTTCCAAAACTCTTCCTTTCCAAAAACAATGTGTGCCTTGAAAAGATACTCATAAAATGAATCAACCCCTATATGAGGTCAAAAAAAAAAAAAAGATACATCATCAGAAACTGAGGTTACAAACTGAAGTAATGGCGGTTACAAACTGAAGTAATGGAAGCCAAGACCATTACACCTATGGAATGAAACTGAGATGCAAAACAACTTTTTTGCCTGGTTCACATGGTTTCTGTAGTGGATAGATTTTGCGACAAGATATAGTGAAAAATGATATTTGGCTATCTCATGAAGGATGACCTGAAGTCTAAAATATAATTACATAACAAATGCCACTATCCGGATAAAACGTACCAGCCCCAATACCAGATGAATATTCAATCCATTCCCCAGTTACCACATCCAGAGTTGTTCCGAATAAATTCAATGAACTCCTCATACTCCATAACTTACGAAGAGCACGTAAAGCAGCAGATTCATATCTAGGGTCACCAGTCAACCGTGACAATGCTCCCATTTCAAGAATTAGAGAACCTGAATCCAGATGGAAAATCAGAAGATCTCAGGACAGCATATCCTAGGATCGCCTCATCTAAATACTGAAAAAGATAAGCCTCTCACCACATCCTGAAGTGCTTGTTTCAGTAGTCTCGTTCTCCATTACTCCATACTGTCCACAGAATTTCCCATTGATGCAGAGAGTCATATATCCTTCTTACAAACAAAACCACAAAAAATTTTCATACATTTGTGAATTGAGAGATGAATTCTGTGAAAAGATTAGGTACGATTCAAATAACAGATTTTGGTGCAAATATGCCAATACAAAAATGAAGCATCACTGTGAAGATGCTAACAATTTGATTGGTTAAGATCTGTAAAATAACAATTTTTAAAATCCACATATGAAATGATGAATTTGAATAGTATGAGAAGCTTGTGATGCAAGTTAAGAAGGATAATAACAGATGGAGAATTTTCTCATAAAGGTTCCCCTTTTTGAAGATGGATAATATCAGATGTCAAAAACTATCTTTAATAGCGGCAGTACCTTCAAGTTAATCCATGCATAGGGCAGTCCGGTAGGTGTGTTGAAAGCTGGTAAGAATCGTCTCCCAAGATCTTCAGCCAAACTAAGCATCTGATTTTTATAAGCTCCTTTAACCAACCTGCTTGTAGAATCAGTCGCAAGCATATGAGCAGATACTAGTCCCCCAAGAACTCTTATGTTGCACTACATATAGAAATCATGTAAAAAAAGCTCAATTAAACACTTCAAAAATATCTTATGTTGCCACTATTCTTGTCACAGTTTGAACTATCTAAAGTTATGTTATAAATGAAGCTTGAGATCATTCATATGCATGCTATTTTAAGAATTGCTTCAATTAGATACCTCGAAAAGATTTATCCTTGCATCAACATTGAATTTTAGATTGTCAGACAGCCAAAGAACTGCCCTTTCAAATTCCGTGTTGTTTCCCATAATAACAAGGCTGTCAAAGAAAAGTTTTACATCAGAGTGGTGATCCATAACTCCAAGTTTGTTACACTGGAGAAGAATAATAAACCCAACCCATAAACTGACTATAAATCGACACATTTTCAGTATTGTCTCGTACCTGGACAAAGATTCAATTAGTGAGAGTGCAGATCCATTATAGTCATGTGGTAGGTGTTCAAGCTGAAATAGAGAGGATAAACAGTTATATCCTTGCAGCACACAGTGACTAGCCAAGACGCGAATATATAGATGTTTACCTTCAGATTTCCAAGCTCACTAAGGGAATCAGTGAAAGTTTTTGTAATAGGTTTTAGCTCATCATGCTGCAACCAATAAAGAAATTATGATCCTCTGCAAAAATCGATGAATTATATAGCAAATGAGGAAGGCGAACTAACCGGAAAGGCATGGACCATGTAGTTGTCATATGCATGGTAAAACCTGAAAGGACAAACAATTTTTCAGTTATTCTCTCATCAAATAATTACTCATATTATTCTCCTAAAGATTATTGACATTGTCATTCGTAGTTCAGTGAGATTCCATATTGATTCGAGGCCAATGCAAAAGAGCATATCAATCAGCAATCTCTAATACGTCATTGGATCCTCGCCTATAAAAATAAAAGCGTCAAAATTTATCAGCTAAATTAGCTTTTTTTTTTTTTTTTTTTTTTTTTTTTGTTGGCTTAGAAGAGAGTAGTTTGACATTACATTTTCGTTTAGCTCACTCAGTTCAATTCAGCCAAACTAAATAGTTTCAAATGACCAAAAGTTTTCCCAATGATCCAAGTGTTAAATATTTGAAAGTTTGAACCTTGGCACATTGCCAGTGTTTTAATAACAAAAAAAAAAAATGGAAGCACCAATCATATAAACCACAAAAGACCAAAAATTTATCATTTATGTCACTCCAATGATATTTTACGGGAAACAAAATTTATAACAAAAAGTAATCAAATAACTGTTAAACTTTAAAAATTCTGGTTAAAACACAGATGATCTGAGAATTAGAGGTGCCCAGATTTCCAAAGAGGTCAAAAACGAAACATATAAATAAAACCCAGTAAAAAGGAAAACTGAAAATTAACGAAATTGAATCCAGGATATGAAGTGGGTCATAGGAAAATTAAATTGGCTTACATTTTGCGAACTTTCTCTCTCATGCGTCTCTTCTTTGCTGCCCAACGAGGATCAGCTTTGGAGCTGGATAATTCAAACACGGACATAGAGATTACCAACAACAGTAGAACCCATTTCACAGATTTGCGAGACAACATGTTTTGCAGTCAAATTTCCAAGGAGAGAGAGAGAGAGAGAGAGAGAGAGAGAGAGAGGGGAAAGCGGGTGTTCAAGGCGAGTACGCAAAGCAGGAAGTGGTGTAAACAGTAAATTACTAGCATCATGTCATCACCAACCCACAATGGTGGGACCTGGCCCATTTGGGTCTTATGATCCATGGGTGAATACCATTTCAGACTTCAGAGTTTGGATTTTTCAATTTTCAACAAGTCTTTTTTTTTTTTTTTTTTAATTGAGGGCGGGGATCTGAATACCATTTCAGCTTAAGTATCTGTTTCACAGAGGTTTTGTTTTTACTTTTAACCAGTAAAAATGGTAGCTTTTTAATAAGTATATAGAACCAAAGATAATTTTTATATTTTTTAATAAGTAATTAAATTAACGTTAGAATTAAGTTTATAATGCTTTAATAAACTCTAGTACAAATTTTAAAGTCTATTCATAAATGTATTTTTTTAAAAGTCACAATTTCTAACTTTAATTGAAATTTTTTTGAAAAGTCAAAACACTTTTAACAGATTATTCAAACACTTTCAGAAATAATTTTTGAGCCTAAGAAGCCAAAAAGCAGTTTTTAACGAGCTCTTTCCAACAGCCTTAAGTCAGGTGTGAAATTATCTTTCAAGTTTTCAATTAGATATGGAAATTTATGTAATTTTCACGATCAAAGTGGTATATGAAAAATTAGAGTTTAAATTTAGAAGTGGTATTCAACTTTACATTACAGTGCCATAAGAGAAATACTAATTTTAGAAAATTAAAATTTAAACATGTCATCTTCTTTTGTAAAAAAGTTAAAGTTTAATTAACACCTGAATGAAAATAATACAAGTGAATAAGTAGAGTATCCGCCTAATTTATAATCATTGTTCAGATGTCTCAACGTGATTTTCGAAAAGGGAATACATGTATATAACATTGTGAGATTACTTAGTTAAACGAACCATGAGGTGAGAAATCTGAATGCATAATTTTTTTTTCTTTTTGAAAATCTGAATGTAGAATTTTCGTTTCCTTAATTACTGTCGTTTTTATGTGCTGTCGTTTGTCGTTTTCACAGGTTATTGTCATCTTATGAGTTTTGACTTGTTTTTTTGCTCGTTTTTGGCTGTCGTCCTACAAGTTACAACACTCCATTACTTTATCCAAGTACTTATCGTTGGCAACCAGCACCCAAAAAAAAAAAAAAAAAAAAAAAAAAAAAAGCGTACTTATCGTTGGCAAAACTCTCCAAATGTGCCATGTCGTTTTCTAAGATCACTGTCGTTTATGAGTTTTGTTGTTTGCTTTTCTGGTCATTGTTGTTTTACTTCTATTGTTTTATTGTTTGCAATTTGTCATTATCGTGGTCAAATACTCAAATTCCTTAATGTAGATTATGCTGTTTCCTTAATATACTATCGTCTTTCATGTTCTCTGTAAAAAAATATTGCCGCGTCTGTCGTTTTCTCATATTCAAATCTTTTCAGGTTATATTCGTCTTATAACACAGTAAATTGTCATCTTTGTAATAGTTATCTATGAGAATGCTCAATGTAGAATGTTGTAGTTTTCTGACTTCAGTGTCGTTTTATGGTGTTAAAGAAAAGTTGTTAGCACAATTGTCTCCGGAAGATTTAACAAATTGTCCTTTAAAATTTTAATTTTAACAATCAACCGCTTGAACTTGAAATAGACCCCATTTTACTAAATTTTCTAGATTTAAGGATTAAAAATTCAGGAATTGAAAGTACTTTTTTTATACTAATTTAACACAATCATTATTAAAATTGAGCATATTGAAACAATTTTATTTGTTCAAAGAATAATTTACCAAAATTAAAAGTTTAAAAGGCAAATTGTTAAAACTATACAAGTTCAAGGTAAACGTGTAAAATTCCAAAAACAAAGTAATAATTTCTCTTGAAAACTACGTGCAAATTTTACCCCCTCCTCCCATTCAAAAATAGGATTAACAAAAGAAGAAAAACATTGACCCCACGAGATAGCCATGCAAAAATGACGCTAAAGAAACGAAAACGTATATATATAGAATATCTCTCTTCGCTCAATGAAAAAATGGAGAATTTATCTAGAGTGTGTACTCGTTTAGACCTTTATCTTTTACTTTTAATAAATATTTTTTTATTAATATAATTATTTAATTAAAAAAATTTTAAATTAAGAATAAAAATAAAAATCTTGACCCATATATTTTTAAAAAAGGTTTTTGTCAACATTACCTTGATCAATATTAATAAAATGTTATGTAATAACATTAGCAAAAACGCCCCTAAAACCACTCCCATCCACAAAACTCAAACTCTCTCCTCCCCATTTCGCTAACAACCATCATTTCCTTCTTTCTATTTTCTTTTCCACACATTTTCCTTCTTCCTTTAGAGAGAAACTGAAGCAAGTCTCAACTTCTTCCTTTCTCTCTCTGTCTCTCTCTCACAGACTCTTTCTTTCGCCATGGCTTTCCCTCTCCTCCTCCTCCTCCTCTTCCTCTCCGCCCCCTTCGCGGCGGAATCGAAGCTGGACCTAGACTACTACCGGAAAACGTGCCCGGACTTCGACAGGACGGTCCGGGACATCGTCACGCAGAAGCAGATATCGAACCCCACCACGGCGGCAGCCACGCTCCGCCTCTTCTTCCATGACTGCATGGTGGAGGGCTGCGACGCCTCCGTCTTCATCTCCCCCAACCACGTCAACCGACACCCCGAGCGCGACGCCGACATCAATCTCTCCCTCCCCGGCGACGCCTTCGACGTCGTCGTTCGGGCGAAGACAGCCCTCGAGCTCACCTGCCCCGGCATCGTCTCCTGCGCCGACATCCTCGCTCAGACCACCCGGGACCTCATCATCATGGTTGGCGGTCCCTTCTACAAGGTACGTGCTTGTGTTTTATAATTTCAAATGATGCAACAAAGTTACAAAAATATCTCAATAATTAAAGAAAAAAAGTGAAAAAAAAATAAGAGAATATATATATATATATATTTTAGGGAAGATGATTATATTAATGAGTCAAATAATCGGCTTCGACATGGGGCTACAAACCTAGGAACCATATATGTTCCAATGAAAAAACTATATAGCGCTTGAAAAAAAAAAATAATTCTATGAAAACTCTGATTTTAATTTTTTTAAATTACTATCATGTCAGATTATTTTGATGATAATTATAATTAGCACAAGTTGTTGATATACATAATAAAATACTTAGTGACAACAAATATTTTAAAAAGTAAGAAAATTTTAAATTACATCACTACCATGTTTCTAAAAGTAAAAATTAGTATATAAAAATTTAAAGGATATATATTTCTATGGTATTACGAAGGAAAAACCTGTTTGGCTGAAGATAGGAAAATGTAGTTTTTCATTAAACCAGAAAATAGAGTACAAGCTAATATTTATACAGAGTGTACACGTGTGAGTAGACACGTATGTAGTAAGCTTTATATGAAGCTTATGCTACAAGATTAATAAAATTAACTAACTAAGATTATGAGTATCTTAAAATATGGTAAAAATACTATACAAAACTATAAAGTAATAAAAATTTTGACATGTATATGTTACTTAAAAATTATATGCGATCTATGCATATTGTTCTAATGCGTGAGTCTCATTAACTTGTGATATGAATAAGAGTAATCTATGGTAATACGTATGATTGATTCTAATTGTACACACTCAAAACACTATATCACTTAATTTCTCCTTGGTTGAAGTTGAATAATTATTAGTTGTAAGGAGTGTACGATAATAACTCTTCATTAATATTTTAATCAACCATAAACAAAAGTATATGAGTTCAATACATGGCTAGCTTATATGATTATTATCAATCCATCAATTTTCTTGTTCCTTAACATTATAACAATAATTAACATAATCAGCTTATAAATTAACAGGTGAGACTTGGACGCAAGGACGGCTTCATCTCCGAAGCATCCCGGGTGGCAGGAAACCTCCCTTCGGTGGGCCTCACCATGGACAACATCATCAAGATCTTCGAGAACAAGGGCTTCACCGTCGACGAAATGGTGGCCCTAACCGGCGGCCACACCATTGGCTTCTCCCACTGCAAGGAGTTCGCCGACCGCCTCTTCCACTACAGCAAGACCACCCCGACCGACCCCGATATCCATCCCAAGTTCGCCGATGCGCTGCGGCTGACGTGCGCCAACTACGCGACGGACCGGAGCATGGCGGCCTTCAACGACGTCATGACGCCCGGGAAGTTCGACAACATGTACTACCAGAACCTGCAGAGAGGGCTAGGGCTACTGAAGACCGACAACGCGCTTGTCAAGGACCCGAGGACGAAGCCCGCGGTCGACCGGTTCGCCGCCGACCAGAAGGCCTTTTTCGAGGCCTTCTCTCACGCCATGGAGAAGCTCAGCGTGCTTGACATCAAGACCGGCCCCAAAGGAGAGGTTAGAAGGAGGTGCGATGCTTTCAATTCGATTCGGACTTAGAGAATGAAAGAAAAACGACAACAAAAAGATAGAAGATTGGTTTTATGGTTTGTGGTTTGTGATGATCATGCATGGAAGTGTATATTACGACAGAAGATTTTTTTTTTCCTTTCTTAATTTGGAACAAAATAACGGATCAGTGAAGAAAAAAGTTTGTATGGTATAATTTTCTTTGTGGTTTTATGAGGTTTTTTAACTCTATTTTATAATATAATTTGGATGGTTTGTGGTTTGTGATGATCATGCATGGAAGTGTATATTACGACAGAGGATTTTTTTTTTTCCTTTCTTAATTTGGAACCAAAGAACGGATCAGTGAAGAAAAAAGTTTGTATGGTATAATTTTCTGTGTGGTTTTATGAGGTTTTTTAACTCTATTTTATAATATAATTTGCAGTATAGACGTTTTTAGTGTTTCATTATATTACAGTTTTTGTCATTATTTAAACTTAAGTGTCGAGAGATGAAAATGAATTCTTGTGATTTATTATTCTTGTTAATAAATATAATATTATGTCTCTGCTTTATGAATGTAAATCTATAATATATGCTTAACCATGCATGGCAAGTTATTAATTTTCAATCATTAATCTTATTCGTTAAATGTTTTCAACCACATAACATTTTTAATTAAGGGTTAAACTTAAGCTCAATTTTGAATCGTTAAATTTTCATTAATTTTTGTTGAATTATTACTTCGTTCAATATTGCAATACAGTTCAGAATTATATCTCATACATAGAGTTTTTGGATTTCATAAATTTTAACACGGAAGATAATGAGTACTGGAAGGAGGCTTGACTCACTCATCTGCTCTTAAAAAAAATGCTACTTTTGAAGCTTTGCTAATGCTAAAAGCTTTAACGTCGGTTTTTATTTGACGTTAATTCCCACGTTCAACTTCAGTTTTTTGACTGTTTGTTAAATGTCTACGACGTTGACTTTCAATTAGAAGGCTTCATGTGTCATAGTGCGTAACAAAATCTTTTTTCCTTAATCTTATTAATCTTATACATTTTTAACGTTTTCCAACGAAATATTATAAATAAACAAGATAAGCACAATTTTAATAACAATATATTTTCATCAATTTTGTTAAACTATCTATTTTTATTATCATTCAACATTAACATTAATTTCTGAACTCTGTAAATTTTTCTTTCGTTTTATTCAAATATTAGACAATAAACATATTGATTCACAGAAAATCTTAAGAAAATAGTTTTATAATTCACTGATTCATATAAGGCAAAATTAGGAATAAAACTAAATTTCGATCATTAATGTATAGTTTTAGTTACAATATAATGCACATATGTATTGATAGATTAAAACACAAACAAAAAACTAGGTTAAGACAGTCTATAGATAATTAAAATGTAAAATGCAAAACAAAAAGAATAACAGGGATGTGAAATTAAATATCCACATAGTGTGTATCATTGTACATGTGAGCTATAAATATCCACATAGTCGTAGTTATTGTAATAAGAAGGCTTGATTATTGAGATATTGAATACTTGAGTTTTCTCTCCAATTTAAGATTTTCCCATTATGAGTGTTGCTTAGGTGGATTTGGGAACTCTTAGGGTTGAGTTTTTAATTCGAGTCAGATATAATTTTATATAAAAGTTTTTTACTGTAGTAAAAAAGTTAGGTGGATTTGGGAACTCTTAGGGTTGAGTTTTTAATTCGAGTCAGATATAACTTTATATAAGAGTTTTTTACTGTAGTAAAAAAGTTATGTGTGATTATTTTTTAGAGCTTTTTACTATAACAAAACTCGAATTCTAAACTCGAATCGGTGAAATAAACGGGCTTAAATTCATATCTTACCCAAGAAAAAACACAACAAAAGTTAGAATTATGAATTTCTGGATGATGAGCAGTGCTGAATACAACCACTCATTCAGACGTTCAATCAAATGCTATTGTCTTTAATCGACACATGTTCTCATATTTTTATAACTCGATCTCGCCATATGATAAGTCATATTTCTGCAGCTTACTTACGAGATTGCCAATGCCACCACTTCAAATACCTTCCCGTAATTCTTTCTAATTTCAGGAATACTGCAGTCTAAGCAGAAAAAATCCCAAAACATGAGGGAAGCAACCAAAGCTAAAAGTTCAAAACCAAGATGAAAATAAAAAGCTAAAGAGATATGATATTTCGAAAGAGGAGAATCGAACAGATGATAGAGGAAACAAAGGAGAACAAAAAGAGAGAGATTTGTGATCTTTGGAACTTCTAAATCTGACTTGAAGGTTCGTAACCCACTCCAATTTCTTATAGATACTTTAAACATAAGGTTCATTGCCTATGCTTGTCTGGTTAGATACTTGGATTAATTGACATTTCTGAACGTTTTCTTATGGGTGAGGACTTGAATCAGATCTATTTTATTGCTGATTAATTTTCTCTTTTTAGCACGAAGAACACGAAACTAATTAGAACAGTTTAAGTTAATTTATTGTTCTGTAGGCTCTTTAGCGGTTTCTTCTGGTTAGAGTAGTGTCTGGTTATTGATATTTCTTGCTTACCATTTCAAGCCGGCTTAGAGAGAAGAGTGCTAAAGTGAAGTGATGACAAACGAAAGAGAGTGAGATAAGATACAATGGTAATCTTGTAAAGAAGTTGTGAAAATGTGACTTATTATATTATATGTTTATTCCAATAAAATTATGAAGATACATGTAAGCAAACTTATTATATTATATGTTTATTCGAATAAAATTATGAGGACACATGTAAGCAAAAGGGTAGCATCTGATTTAGCGTCTGGGCCAACGTTTATATCTAGCATCAGCGTCTGGGCCAACGTTTATATTTAGCACCGGCGTCTGATTTAACATTTGGGCTAATGTTTATATTTAACTAGCATCATAAATGATCAGACGTCTGGACCATCATCACAAATGACGTGTGACCAACGTTTATATTTAAAAAGCACCACAAATGATTGATGAAGAACCTATACAATTAGGTCAGATGATTGATCAAGAACCTATACAATTAGGTCTAATTTTAGTTTGGGATGATGGATCTCACAGGTTAAAACTATATTTTTTCGTTTATTTCAGTACTGTTATCCTAATAATTTTGTCAGGTATGCTTCTAAAGCAACTCATTCGGAGTTGCTTGTACGATACCTCAACCAAGAAACCCACGCCTTATTTATACTAGATGGAAGTTTGTGAAGTTTTTTTACTTTTATCAATGTGAGAGTTTTTCCACACCAACTTAAAGCAAGTAGATGCTTTGTATGTGTCAGGTACGTACTGTACATTAATTACTGGTGAATAATACGAGGAATATCAACAGCATGGACTTCATGCTTAAAACCTATCTTGTTATGGCCATAAGACAAACCATACATACAAGTGCTTTTCCATTATATAACTCCACTAGACATAACATTCTTTATTTCACAAATATACATACATAGATACTACCAAACGTATTCTTTGGTACTAAACATCCAGACCCGCTCAAGTAGAGATCTAAAAATAGATAGTGGAACTCATCTGGGGGAGACTTAATAAATGATTTTAACAAAGGATTTTACTGATATTTTTTTAATTAGATTATTTGTTGAGAGAATATGGGATTTGTTTTTACAAAGATCACTCTTTGATATTTGCTTTTTATGTGTCTGGTGTTTTGTTTTATGATTTAGGAGGACTTCTTGTCCCCTACCTATAATTATCTATTTGGTCATTAATAAAGTTTGTTTCTTATCTTATATATAAAAATGCAACACCTCTAAGTTAGCATATCATTTATCAATTTGTTCATATTCACTGTCGAGCTAGCTTAAATTTTTTTATATAATTAATCAAATTTATAAACAAAATCAATTAATAGTGGAATCATCAAAATTACAAATACAATTGATTATAAGAAAACTATGGACTGTACAAAGTCTCAACATTAAAATCCTACCTATTTAATCGTGAGACATCTGACCTTCTTGCTCAGTCAACTGAAACCTCTATTTAAAAGTTTATCTGCATCATCAAAATTATATAAGGTCAAAGGTTAGTGAGTAAGAATTGGGAGCTCTTGCCCTAAAGAGCAGTGACACATTAATAGCATTTTGTTGGCTCTTATTCTTTTAGGAATGAAAAACCTACAAAATAGAATTAGGCATATTCATTTAAAAAAAAAATAGTATTAGGCATATAAATAAGTGGAAAGAAAAGAAAAGAAGTGAAAACAAAAATTACATTCGTTAAGGGCACATACTAGAATCTAATACAATATTTGATCTTTTAGATTTTTCAGTGGCGAACACGTGCCTGTACTGGTCTTTACGTGACGGTCCATACCAGCTCAAGAGTTTTATATAGATATATATATAAATTTATTTGTATGTATGTATATGTGTATATGTATTTTGTCTACTAAGATCACAAGACCGAGCAGACTGAGCATTATATCCTTAATTATAGAATCTTATATATAAATTTATATGTATGTATATATGTATATGTAATTTGTCTACTAAGATCACAAGACTGAGCAGACTGAGCATTATATCCTTAATTATAGAATCTTCATCTTAATACAATATTATGGTATTTCTTTTTTAGGAAACTAATAAAACATGTGCGTAAGATCATCCTCATAAAAGTGAGAATATGAATAAAGTCATAATGTCCACATAAATATGACAAATATAATATTATTCTTGTGACACTATAATGGGATTTCTACTTATCTTGGCTTACGATAAATACGACATGGAGAGTCCTTTTTTTTTTTTTTTTCGCTAAGCTAGATAATTCTCAATATAGCTTTTGAGAACTGTCGTTGCAGAAGTTGATGCAAATAAAACCTCAGTTAGTACAACTATCAAAAAGTGTTCAATATCAATTATCTATTTTCAAACACCAAGAGGCTGTAAATAAAAAAAAAAACGAAAATAATAAACAACACGATATGGATTAAAATGCATTGTACCATCTATATAAAATATAAAACATTCCAGGATTATGAATAAAAGTCAAACTACATCACAAAACCCTAAAATTATTTAGCTAGTTTCTAGTACCAGAGATTG